TCCGGCTCGACGTGCAGGAGAAGGAACGGGGTGGTTTTTAGTCAGTAAGAGTCTGACACTCCCTCCCGCCTCACCCAGGCGGGAGCAGTCATTCGATGATTTTCTCCCCTTAAAAAAAAATCCTTAAGTACTTCCTTACTAATATTATAAATCGGAAAGTGAGTTTGTTTGTTCCGCTTTCACGCCGTAATTACTAAACCGATTGCTTTGAATTTTTGCAGACGTAAAGTTAGAAGTCTGGATTAAATAATAGGGTACTTTTTATCCCGGAAAAATTTGATATTCCCGAGGGAAAACAAAAGTATTGATATAGATGGCGCTGTATGTATTGGTATATGGCACATAGGCTACTTTTTATCCTTTTGTGACGTGAGCGAAGCCGCGGGTAAAAGCTAGTATGTATAATACATGCATATAGCACCCGTGCGAAACCGGGGCGGGTCGCTAGTAAATAATATAATTCGCTTCCTAAAAGTAAACACAAACATCCAATAAGGCAATCAACTGTAAAAGTAAGTGACTGCCTCGTTGGCCGGGTGGTCACAAGTGCTACTGCCGGGCAAGGGATCTCGGGTTAGATTCCCGGGTCGGGCAATCTACTAGAACTAATGGGTTTATAAAAAATCTCAGCACGGAGTCTGGAATTGTGTCCGGTATATGACGATAGGCTCACCCCCTATTACATGGGACTTATAACATAAATAGTGAAAAGTGGGTGATACATTGTACAGTAGCATTAAGTGTCGCAATGTGCACCTCTGTCTACTCCTTCGGGATAAAAAGCCTTTTATGTGTATGTGTATAAAAAAAATTGTTAATATTCCATCATCGTTCATCACCAGGTTATCCGTTCCCCATCCGAACACCACCCTGCACTATTCACCGAAGCAGTCTGGACGACGCGGCCAGCTCGAGAGAAGCTAGCAGAACTCCTGTTCGAGAAGTACCAGGCGCCTGCATTCTTCCTGGTGAAGAGTGCGGTACTGGCTGCGTTTGCTAACGGGAAGAGCACGGCTTTGGTCGTAGATGCTGGAGCCAGTCAGACTTCTGCCGTGCCTGTTATTGATGGGTAAGTTGGTATTATGATATTTAGAATATTGTTTAGAAGTAGTATAGTATCCTAGTTTATAGAATAAGCCGGTAAACGAACAGACGGATTACCTGATGGTAAGCAATCGGCGTCGCCCATGAACACATGAAACACCAGAGGCGTTACAAGTGCGTTACAGGCCTTTAAGGGATTAGGAATTTGAGGATTGTTGGGGATTTGGGGAATGGGGTAATTGGGGCTCCGGTAACCTAAAAACGAAACGAAACACAAAGCTGTATGGTTGCTTCACGTCGGTTTTCTGCTCAGCCGCGGTATCACTCCGGTCGAGCCGTACTATTCGTGTCGAAGCTTGGCTCTCGTGGGTAGTAGCACAGAGTCTGGAATGTGCCCGGTATATGGCAATAGGTTCACCCCTTATTACATGGAACTCATAACATAAATAGTAAAAAATGGGTGTTACATTGTACATTGGCATTAAGTGCCGTAATGTGCACCTCTGCCTACCCCTTCGGGAATAAAAAGGCGTGATGAAATGTTATGTTTAAAAAAAAATGACACTCTGTCGTTGAGTCTATATTTACTATATTTTGCTATATTTGCTCGTTCCAAAGTATAGATTCCTATGTAGAAGAACGAGCAAGAAACTCCATAGGTTACTCTGAGTTGAGTTGTTGAATAAGAGTGCTTCGTAATAATAATAGGGTAGATGCCTAATTTTTATTTTAATGTCCGTCTGGTAGGTTATTTAAAATCATTTGACACGTATTTTTTACCCGGTCATAATCCCAATTATCATGTTTTTACAGATATGCGCTTGTGAATGCCGCCGTCCGGTCCCCGGTCGGAGGCGACCACCTCGCGGCGCAAGCGAAACACATGCTGTCCAACTTACATATACAGATGCTGCCCATATACAGTATACAGGTATGTAATGTCAACAAACAAATTATTAACCTCTCGCGTGTTTATCGTACACACGGGTGTCCGAGACAGTTGAGTGCCCATCGCGCAATTGTACACACGGGTGTACGAGAGAGTTGAGTGCCCATCGCGCAATTGTACACACGGGTGTACGAGTGATTTCAGTGCCCATCGCGCAATTGTACACACGGGTGTACGAACTAGTTGAGTGCCCATCGCGCAATTGTACACACGGGTGTACGAGACAGTTGAGTGCCCATCGCGCAATTGTACACACGGGTGTACGAGAAACGCGCACCTATTGGATATTTTTGACGTATATTTTCAAGTTTGCAACCCGTTCTTTATTTCATTGAACAGAATAGTTAATTCGCATTTCTATTAAAATATTTACCCGTGTGTACGAGAAGCGCGCGAGAGGTTAACTGCAATTGGCGTGTCGACAGGGTAAAAAAATCAAAAAAGTAATTAGTCCGTCATTAAGATCGCACGAAAATATCAGACACGTATTTTTTGTTTTATCAAATTAACAGACGAATACGTAGTTATTCCGCATTAAAGTTAGGGAGTGGGGGGTGGTGACGTCACACTTACGGAGAAATCGTACCTAAGTGTGACGTCACGCGTCATTTTAACTCAAAATATCTACATGTTTTTTGGATACGAGAAAAAAGAAAAAATACGTGTCGAAGATTTTTAAAATATCTAAAAGACGGACAAAAAATTAAAAAATAGTCGCCATGCCTATTGGAACATAAGACATAACTTATAATCTTTTTTTATGGAAAAAAAAATCATTTATTGGCTTCTGCCCCTCTTTTGTTGAAGTCGGTTAATTAATATACTTACTAAAACTTTCTACGAAGTGTTACTGACACTTCTCTGAAAAACGCATCAAAATCGGTTCAGCCAATCGCGAGATAATTCCGCACAAACATTCATACATCATACATACAGGTCAAACTGAGAACCTCCTTCTTTTTTGAAGTCGGTCAAAAATAACAAAATCTGGTCGCATATTTATTTTTATTTAAGTCGTCGAGTACCGTCATTCATTATAGACACAATTAAAGAACAATAGGTTGCGGTCACCGGTGTCCTCGCGGTGTTTGACAGTTTAAGTAATGGATACAAATTGTTTCCTTTTATATCATACCAGGCAATCTTTATTGTAAAATTATTTTCGGCTGCCTCGTTGGCCTAGTGGTCGCAAGTGTCTCGGGTTCGATTCCCAGGTCGGGAAAAGTATAACTGGATTTCAAAAAAAATCTCAGTAGTAGCACGCAGTCTGGAAATGTGCCCGGTATATGGCAATAATCTCTCCGCTATTGCATGGAACTATCAAATAGTGAAAAGTGGGTGTTACATTGTACAGTGGCATAATGTACACCTCTGCCTATCCCTTCGGGGATAAAAGGCGTGATGTTATGTTATGTTATGTTATGTTGAATTTTAACATCAATTTCTTAATATTTTCAGAGTAAGGAAGTGATAAGAGAGCGCGAGCGTGGCCGGTACACCCTGAAGACGCTCCCGGCGGGACTGACGCACTCCTGGCAACAGTACATGCTCAAACGGCAGTACGAGGACTTCTGTCACTGCGTCGCGCAGGTATATTGTAGTTAGCTACGGCAATTAACTAAAAATACGAGTTAATCACTTAATGTATATAATGTACTAGCTACTTCCGCGCGGTTTCACCCGCTCTGCTCAGCTCCTATTGGTCGTAGCATGATGTTTTATAGCCTATAGCCATCATCGATAAATGCGCTATCCAACACAAAATGATTTATTCTTATCAGACTTGTAGTTACGGAGATTAGCGCGTTCAAACAAACAAAAAAAAACACGCCGCTTTATATAATAGTATAAGATTTGTATAATGCGTCAAGCGTGTCTTTGCATTGTTCTCACATAAATATGTGTACAGTATTGAAATGTATCAGAGACATTGTAGAACATACTTTTTTTAAAAAGAGTATCAGCGGCGCCTCAGTACATCAAAAAAAGAAAAACATTATTGTATAATACATTCAAATGTCAGTGCTTAAATAATTAAAAGTTAAACTTACACATGTTCTACAAATTACTGTCATTAAAGAAGTCGTTTACATTGTAATTTCTTGGAGAAGATGCATTTCAATTTGTTTTTAAATATACTAATAATGAAATGTTGAGGTATTCCTCGTAGCGCTCCCGTTTTGAAGCGCGCCCATCAAAGCGCTCCTTTTGGGAGCGCTTTGAGGAACGATTAAACATATTAAAATTTATTTCCTCGAAGCGCTCCCATGATTAACTTTCGAATAGAGATGGGACTTTACTAATTGAAATTATCGATAAGAACTAGGTAATAAGTAGAACACATTGTTATAATATACAACTAGCGGCCCGTCCCGGCTTCGCACGGCTTTGGTATTTTTGTTTTTATTGTAAATCCAATAAAACGGGAGCGCTTAGATGGGCGCGCTTCAAAACGGGAGCGCTACGAGGAATACTTCGAAATGTTTTATGTTGTTTGGGATTTTATTATATTTTCCCTTCGCAGATATCGGAGAGTCAGTACGAGGAGCGCCAAGCGGCGTCAGTCCCGTTCACCCACTACGAGTTCCCCGGCGGGTACCACCAGGACTTCGGCCCTGAACGGTTCAAGCTCACCGAGTGTCTGTTCGAACCTACGTTGGGGGCGCCGCATTTGGGTGAGTTGTACTGACTGACAAGGTTTTTTCACTATCAAAATGGTAATATGATAAAAGTAAGTGCTGTATTTGTATAATGTATTTATTTCGTACTTGTAATCTTTAGAATGCCCACATAGGTAACTTAACAAACAGTTCAACATATGCATAAAATAAC